GCATTTGCAATTTAAAATTGATTTTGTTTGTCTTCACCTTTGCACATCACTTGCCTTGAACATGGACGTTGAGCTGGTGGATAAATTTGCTATTGCAACGCTCCTTGATCCCCGTTTCAAGACACAGTAACTGGAATGTTCAGCTCACGCTCGGGCAGTTACAACTATGTCTGCGCAGATCTATAGTACCGAAAGAGTATACGATGATATACACACATCTGTCCCCCCACCAAAACCAACCAGAGGCCTGTGGGATATTAATGACGAAATGGTAAAGAAAGTTATTAATCTACATATGTACAAACATTCACTTCTTATGACATATTTCAGGTTCATCAGTCCTCTGCTATGTCAGAACTGGATCGCCATGTGGGCATATCGGCAGAATTACAAAATTTCTGGCATCAGCCTATTTTCCCACGTTCTGCCGATCCTTTTCAACCGTGGGAGAAAATCCATAGTGAATATCCCCATGTATACCCCATTGCTCGAGACTATTTATCAAGAATGGTAACAAGTGTTCCGTCAGAGAGGCTATTCTCTAAAACTGGTGAAACCACATAGAATCGATTTCGGCTCGATGCAAAACGCATGGCTCAATTAGCTTTCTTGGGATCCCTCTTGGATGAGTTTTGGGATATCTGAATTAAGTACTTTCCGCACTTACCTGCTTTTACACTCCGACCATCTAATCGTTTTGTTTCATGTGTAAATCTTTGGTTTTTTTTAAATCGGTCATTTAATACCAATAAAACAAATATTATAACCTGTTAAATCACTCACCTAATCAAGTATCCTGAGCAAAAACTTCCACATGTCAAATGAAATCGAAATAGTCATGTATGTTTGTTACACTCTCAACTTTTATTGCGTACGTACTGCACAATTTATTTCAAAATTATATTAATCATCACACTAAATGACTATTATAAGTGAAATGTCATAACAAGATAGCATATGTAATTTAATATCAACTTGATTGAACTTGACATTAATCTGCACCAACTTTCTTATGATCCATTATATTTGAAACATTTAATGCCATTTTGAAAAATGAATCGATTCAAAATAATTGATGAATCGGTGAATCGATTTAAAAAAAAATAATCGATTCACTTAGATCGATTCATAGATCGCCCAATGCAATTATTGATACATAGAGACGAGACAGTAATACCGATTTGATCTGGTCAGGCGTAACTTTAACAATACGCCGTTGAGGCGCTCGTTCCAACAACGTGGGATTGCTTAAGTCCATATATCGATTTTCGTAACTTGCAGACAGTATTCGCCTCCTTTTCCATTCCATCGTGTACTACCATATACAACTAATCCTTCAGATTGCCGTGAAGAAAGGCGGTCTTCACATCTATCTGATGTATATGGAATCCTTGATGCACAGCTACTGCTAGAACCTACCGTACCGTAGGCAGCCTCGCCACAGGAGCATATGTGTCTTCAAAATCGATTCCTGGACGCTGCAGGAAGCCTTTCATCACCAGCCGGGCTTTGTGTCGAACGGCCTGTCCTTTCTCATCCTCCTTCAAACAGAATACCCACTTCGTTTTCAGTGGCCTGGAATCGTTGGGACAGGTCGTCAGCTTCCACACTTCATTTATGGCCATTGACTCCAGCTCGTCTTGTACCGCTCCCGATCATCACGATCTTCGATTTGACTATAGTTTTCAGCAACATCTGAGAGGGAAGAAGAACCCGCAGCATTCACTCCGTAACCGGTAAGATAGTGGTTCTTGTTGCGAAGGAAGCGCACTAGATAGCTTCGGAGACTCTTCTTCTTCCGATTCGTCATCAGTGATCAGGAATTCCGAATTTTAAGTCTTCAAAACATCACTTTCATTACTGATTGCATTGCACTTGCTGTTATCCCCCTCTTGCTTGAACGTTATCGAAACTATCAGTTCCTCCTTCTTTTGAGTCATGAGATTATCAGCACATGGAAAGCTGGCTTCATTGAACTTAATGTCACGAGCAATCACAATTTTACGTAGGTCCTTGTTCCACAGCCGGTATCCGTCGTGTAACCAATCATTATCAGCGCCAATACATTTTTTTTTGCTTAGCGGGAGCTTTTTGTGAGCTTTTCCGCATACGGAGATGCCATTGCTTCAGCAAACAATCTCGGTTCATCACCACAAGTAACACCCTGTTCTTGATTCGGAACGGCAGCAACTCCACTGAAACCAGACTGTAGACTGCCTTCAGAATCGTCAAACCCTTCGATGTCACTCGAGGTTGATGTCAGAATCGTGGTAAGCTTCATCATCGGACGTCTTATCATATATGGGTTCGCTTGGTTGCACTGGAGAAGAAATATCATCGAAGTACACTGGTTTCCACTGGGATGCCATAGAACCTTCACCAACGAATTTCAGCCCACGACTCTTTAGAAAACATTTCAATACATCCTCTTCAAATCCGGTCAGCACACATTCTCTCGATTTCGGATTCCACTTTCTTCGCTTTGGTTTCGGTACTTGCTCTATTGCACCACCATCGTTCCAAATACACGTATGTGATGTGTGAAAGATCAGATTTCCTGCCGTGTGACCTCGAGTAGAGGACCGGTTGATTGAATATACGGCCGTAGCATTTTCACCTGGTGATAACTCCTTCAGAATCGATTTAAATAGAATCTTCGGTAATATTGGTTCCCGAGTTCTTCATCGTCGCTTGGTACTCTCCGGAAGATCGGCCAATAACAGCACACCGACGAAACGTTTCGGGACATTAAATCCAATTCTATTCAGCTGATGGCATAACGAAATCATCCTGTTGGCGTAATTCCATATCGTTCTGCAGGATTCCAGATCGGTTCTGATCAGTTTGTAAAGCAGACCGAATTCCCCTGTGAGTTTAGTTTCCTCAAACGCGTCGCATAGCTTCTTCCAAACTTCCCGACCTGTAGCTGCTTCACGAACGTGGTAGTAATTCGCCAGCTCCAAGAATAGAATAATTTTCCATCTTGCCTTTCCGTCTTTTACTGGAACGACGGGTTCTAGAGTACCCTCGTCTTTCTTCGGTGGCTCATCTGCATCCCAAAAATTTTCGACTTCGATCTATGTCTGGACAGTAAATTTTCAGGTCGTCCAAATCTCTCTTCCAATAAGCTGCTCGACTTCGGGATTCGAATTTTCTTATTAATTTATTTGATAAGGCTCAACCGAATTAACTTTACAGAGCCGAGGATTCTTGTTCACTATACAATACATCTTAAAACTATAGTCAAAAGGTACAACACAGTAAACATTTTATCTTCCGCTATCCAATAAGCCTCCTTCGCCAGAACGTGAGCCGCTTCCAGTGGTTTCATTGTATGACAGATTCGCCAACGAGGGTCAGAGCGCTTCTATTGCAGCAATGGACACAAAACGTGGTCATCACTCACACACTCATCACGAAACACTACCCACTACGAAGCCTCCGAAAAACATGTAACGGCAAGTTTGCAAAGGCATAACTTTGCAATTTCTTAATCAACTTCAAAAATTGTGGTACCTTTAGAATTTCTAGGGTCTGTAGATTATTTTTATTGCAAAAAAATGAAAATAAAGTCATCTACTGTTTGTAAAAGTGAAAAGAGTTGTTACACGTTTTTTTTAAAGGTGTGTTTATAGGGTTTTGCAAGTGGCGCAAGATCTGTTATTTAGATTAATGGGCACAAATGTTCACAATTATCCAGAATACAGTCATGGTTTCTATATATAGATCCTAGAGACAACGGAACGGTCCTCGAAAAATCTGGATCATCCGTAAAAGTGGTCAATCCATGAACCTGATCCTAGAGATCGACGGTTTTTTTTTTAAACATAAGTAACTGTAATATAAAAAAGTATTTGGAGTCGTGACATATGCAGGGTGCGTGACGAATGTTTGCAGTAAATGGCATATTTGAGAAAAAATACACCAGTTAGTTATTCTAGCAATGAATTTTGTGAGATTTATTTTCTTTCGCAACATATGGAAGTTGTAAGTAAATTTATTCAAAAAATTTAAAATGTTTCGATCCATAGATGTCATCACTGCCTTGATTTTAGGTTTTAGCGACTTAAGTGTGGTGTGAGGGGTTCTATTGGTATCCCGTTGGACGACGCCCTATACAAAATAATCCAACGCCCAATTTCTTCCTCCCAAATTTACGAAATATTTTTCGTAAGCCATTTCTGTGCTTTATTAGCAGTATTATCACTTTACCAAGCCTTTTTTAATATTATACACTGTTCTTTCAGACGCATTTACCGACCAAATTATTTCTTTCATGCATACTCCGGCGCGCAACAAAGCGACAACGGCTGATAGATTGCTCTCTTGTTTCGACATCTTTACGTTTACTCAACATTGTTTGTTTAAATCTTACACCTAACAGTATAAACTATCCAGTGCTGCCAAATATATCTAAATCATGATGCACAAGCATGAGAAATTACTATTTGAAATTTACTGCAAAAATTCGTCACGCACCCTGTACATGGACCTGGACGGCCATGGGACCGTCCTCCGGAAGATCCTTAAAAGTGGACAATCCACGAAACTGATCCTAGAGCTCCGCGTTTTTTTAACATTAAGAACTGTGATATAAGAAAGTATTTGGGACATGGACCCATGGACATGGATATTTACAGCGGAAGATCCAGACCATCCGTAAAAGTGGTAAAGCCACGATCCTGATCCTAGAGCTCCGCGTTTTTGTTTAAACATTAGGAACTGTGATGATAGAAATAATTTGGGGTTGTGACATAAACATGGACTTGGATGTAAACGGGACCATCCTCTGGTAAGTCCAGAACATCCGTAAAAGAGGTCAATCAATGAAACTGATCCTAGAGCTCCGCAGTTTTTTCCAAAAAACATTAGGAACTGTGATATAAGAATGAATTTGGGGACGTACCTACATACCTACATAGCCATAGGATCGTTGTCCGGAAGATCAATAACATCCGTAAAATGGTCATTCCATAAAATTGAGAGGTGGAAGCACTACTATGACGAGCACCTCAACGGTGATGCAGCAGAAAACGAAGGTGGCACGGCAACAGAATACGACAGGCTACCAGGCCCTGATCTTCAAAAAGTTGAGGAGGAGATCGGTCGGCTGAAGAACAACAAAACAACTGGTGTAGATCAACAACCAAAAAAGCTATTAAAATACGGTGCTGAAGCACTGGCTAGAGTGCTGCACTGGGTAGTTGCCAATATTTGGGAGAAGGAGATATTACCTGAGGAGTGAATGGAAGGAGTCGTATGCCCAATCTGAAAAAAAGGGAGAATTGTACCATATATCATCGGAAAAGCTGCTGTAGAGAGGTTAATAAGTACCATGAAATCAGTTGAAATGTTCAGTAAATCATTGTGTGCATTTGTGCATTTTTACTGAACATTTCAGCTGATTTCTTGGTACTTATTAACATCTCTACAGCAGCTTTTCCGATGATATATGGTACAATTATACTTCAAAATGGTGCAAAGCGGTGAATACTAAGGAGCATTTTCAAATGCATAATGTACAGTTTTCTCTATTTTAGGGTGCGTACTTTAAATATTTACTGAGCATTTTAAGATTTTTAACGTATTTAGATAAATCATTTAAGGAGCAAACCGATCTATTTTAAGGAGATTTTTTTTTTTACTTATTAAGGAACATCGTCATTGTTTAATGATTCATTTACCTTTTTACCATTGGAAATCCACATATGACACAATCGGATCACGATCACGATCGCGAGTACGATCACGAGTACGGATTATGGATCGAGTGATGTACGTTATTTGAGTATCGGGGCCACTCTCCAGTCCTTTTGAATCTCGAAGGGGGTTACGGGAAGGTGATGGACTTTCGTATCAGTTATTCAACATTGCGTTAGAAGGTGTGAACAGAAGAGCTGGGATGGACACGAGTGGCACGATCTTCAGCTATTCCATCCAGCTTATTGGCTTCGCCGATGACATCGACATCATGACACGGAACTTGAGACGAAACGTAAATCAGACTGAAGGCTGAATCTAGGCGGATTGGACTTGCCATCAACGCATCAAAGACAAAATACATGAAAGGAAGAGGTTCTAGGGAAGACAATGTTAGTCTCCCACCCCGAGTTCAGCTTGACGGTGACGAAATCGAGGTGGTCGATGAGTTCGTGTATTTGCGCTCACTGGTGACCGTCGAAAATGATACCATAAGAGAAATTCAAAGACGCATTATGACAGGGAATCGTGCGTACTTTGGACTCCGGAGGACGCTCCGGTCGAATAAAATTCGCCGCCGCACGAAGTTGACTATCTACAAGACGCTGATTAGACCGGTGGTCCTCTACGGCCTCGCAGACTACGAGGCTGGTGAAGTGTGGCCATGGATCGAGTAGAGTGAAGACGATTTCTTAGGGCAACAGAGGATTATAAGGCCTTAGTATGATTGCAAGCAAGCAAGCCATAAAATTGATCCAAGAGTTCCACTTTTTTTTTTCGAAAATACGTGAAACTGTGATATTATAATGAATTTGGGGTCTTAACATAAACATGGACCCGAATGACCATAGGACCGTCCTCCGGAAGATCCGTAAAAGTGGTTCATCCATGATACTGATTCTAGAGCTCCGTAGTTTTGTCGAAAACACTTCGAACTGTGATCAAGCATGGAAAATATCATTCACTCACGCGAGCACCACAGAATCACCTACAAATAGATTTTCCAACCAAGTGACTCTGCGGTTGACTCAGAACTGACAGTAGAAGGAAAGAAGAATAAACTAAAAATCAGCTGAACAATTTTCTCTAATGAGGGAGAACCAGATTGAATGCGTCAAATCCGAATGCTAAAGATTTAAGGTGATACTCTAAGGAAGCCTCAGCGTGAAACTTTAAAGGCACAAATGTCAACTTCCACAAAACATACAGATTTGAAATGACTACTCCTTGTTTGCTGTGCTACTACAAACAGAGAGTAGCAATTTCAAATGTGTATGTTTTGTTGAATCTGACATTTGTGTCTTTGAAGTTTCACGCTAAGGCTACCTTAGAGTATCACCTTAAAGAAATACAACGGTAGTACAACAGTGTACTTTGTATGTCTGTACAAGGTATTATCTTCGATGAACGCAGAGTTGAGCAAAACAGACAGCTGAGCGTAACATGAAAGATTCTGAGTGTAGTAGTGTGGATGATTCCTCTCTTATTATTTTTCCATGCTGAGCCTTTTACGATTGCATTCTGCTGAGTGAGCTGAATGAGAAATTTGCAGAAAGAATCACTTTTTATTTTCAAACTTTAAACATAAATTGACGCATTTAAATTGCTATTAATATGGAGAAAACTGTTATACTGCAACACATAAACATAAGCGTCACGCAAATAACGAAAACTGCTGTTACCAATTCAACTGATTTAAATCACTGAGCGAAAAGTTCTCTGACTCGGCTATTTAAGGTGATACTCTAAGGTAGCCTTAGCGTGAAACTTCAAAGACACAAATGTCAGATTCAACAAAACATACACATTTGAAATTGCTACTCTCTGTTTGTAGTAGCACAGCAAACAAGGAGTAGTCATTTCAAATCTGTATGTTTTGTGGAAGTTGACATTTGTGCCTTTAAAGTTTCACGCTGAGGCTTCCTTAGAGTATCACCTTAGGCTAGTTCCTCAAATCGTACCTTTTGAGGTACTCGATTAAAGGAGTACAACGGTACTGCTTTGTATGTCTGTCAATGGCAAAATAGAAGCAATACGAATAGGAACGAAATCAGTGTGGCTCGCACAAGCTGCTGTTCCTTTATGATGTTGTATGCGTGTGAGTGAGTAGTGAATGCAAAATGAAACGATTTTTCCCATGCTTAACTGTTGTATATGAAAGAATTTAGGGTCAAGACATCAACATGGACCTGGATGGCTATTGGACCGTTCTTCAGAAGATCCAAGCAGTCCGGTAAGCGGTGACCGTAGTCGACGCCTTTTCTGTGATAATCCGCTGCCTTTGCTTCCGACACTTGCACAACAAACAATCATAGTACAGTGCCAAACGAAAATGTCATATGAAAGTCTCTGTCATACGACACTGTCGCCGAAGACTGTCACGAATGGATGTATTTTAGTTTTTCTCATAATAAGAGCTGCTCCTTGTGCTTCCCAAGTAACAATCTTGGTTTTATGAGGGTTCTGTAAATCATGATTTAGCCTTGTAGAATGATATAAAACATCTATAAAGCTTGCAATGTTACTTGGGTTGTGTGCATTCTGAAAATAGCAAGCAACGATGTCCTAGTAATAACATTTCTGATCAGAAATGGTTTAGTTGAGGAATTAGATCGAAATCAAACTTTGAAATATGATAGTTATTTGATAATTATCGCTTTGCACAACAACATTCGAAGTTCTATCGTTTGTGTCGTGTGAGAGACGATGGTAGAGCATGAGTGTACGAATAAAAGCAGACTGTCGCGCACGACAACGAAGCGAGTGTAATAAAAAACGTGCACCGTTTCAACTGGTGGTAAAATGTGTTAAAATTTTTAAATTTTTTATAAACTTCAGTTTTACCACAAAAATAATGAAAATGGCAAAGTTTCTTCTGACATGTATCTTATGTATCTCCTAATCCTTCAATTTTCTTGGAAGATTTTCACACATTAGGATGAACTGATCGAGAAATCAACTCACTAGCAACGAAGTATTGAACAAACGTTAGAACATCAAAACCATTCCCAAGATGTGCTACAATGAAATAATCCTCAGATATTTTGACTTTCGGCGATTAAAACATTGATTGCGGACATTTTGTTTAAACATATATGAAAAAAATACTGGCAGAAATACAATAGTTATGAGAGAATAATTGATGCTAAATTTATAACAAATCATTCAAATCATTACTCTGTGGTCTTCTTATAGCTCAATCTATCTCGACAAAAAAAAAATCTAAGTGTGTGGGTGGTTGTATCCGGGTCCTCCCCTAGGTAGGCTCATGTCCGTCCAGGTTCTGGTACATTAACAACTAACCTTTAAATTATAATGTCGATAATGCTGAAACTATATGAAGGCTAGTGATCATCATTAGGTGTATTCTGCGATGGAGTAGTAGTTGAAGGAAATGATGTTCTGATGTGGTAAATCATGCAAGCACACACCTTTAATAATTCTTATCCTACATAGAGATGATCCATTTATTATGTCACGCTAAATTGAGGAAAAATTAACCCCCCTTTCGTAACGTTTTTTCTATACCTAATGCATTGCTTGTCACAAAATCATAAATCTGCTAATGCTGCAAAGATCATCATTATGTAAGGCGGCCACAGGCTACAAAATTGCGGGAATGAAATGACAGTGGAACCGGTTGAGGAGTTCCGGATTTTGAAGGTAACGAAATAATGTTCTCTTTAGGTTTCCTGCTTGTTTGTTTTTTCGTAAATGTCCAATCATTTTGATTTGTTCTATACATTTATCCATACCACTTAGATTTAGATCGCTTGATTCAAAATGCGTAATCGATATGAATATTTAAATGTTACTTTATTTTATCTCTGCATGCCTATTTTTAATACAACACGAACACTGACTAGTTTGAACAGCTCATGATAAACAATTGATTCCATATGATGTAAAAAATATTCCAGAAAATATTTAGTACATAATGCTAATTACCCAAAATCAATACAGTGAAGCATTGTAAAATAAAAAATAAAACGAATCAACGAAATGTAAGAAAATATTGTAGAATAGGGAAAGTGATATTAAACCAAGTGATTATATAAGCACTGCTACTTGTAGTTAAAGCAATACAGATTTATAACCCATAGCTCCTTGTAAGAAACAACGAAACATCATTCAAATTAAATATGAACCGCATCTATTAGCCGAAAATGTAGCAGTAGTGATAAAAGAAGCAATTATGATAACCAAAGTCTTCGAATATAATAGCAATATTTTTTTTCTTGAATTTTGTGTTAGGAAAAATCAATTCAACGACATAATGATAAGCAATAAGGCACCACCTTGGACGCTCCGTCTCTGCAGTAGATGTTCAGTACTGGTGTTACAGGATGGAATCAACTACTAACATTGTAAGCAACATGTGATTCTATCGATTATTTTCTGGAAA